AAGAATATAGAGAGCCTGGCCTGTAATTTCAATGAACTTAAAGTTAAGAATTAGATATTTTAACATACCAACAGTCAGTCAAATGGGGGCTGTACAGATTGCTAACAACTCATGGATTCAAGGATCTCATGAAATGCAGTCAACCTTCCACGTCCTCTGATGTATTGTATAAGAACACCTGGAAGGATGAAATCTCTTAGTTCAAAGAAAACACACTTATTTCACTGTATGTTTATCTACTCATGAGCTCCTTCATGGGTCGGTTTCTGAGCTAATAAGTAAATGAATGAGTGCTAAATAGGGCATGGGGAATTCTTTGCAAAGAGTTAGAAAATAAAGCCTGCCCCACTCTGAAAAGACTAAACTTTTTTTTTTTCTATAGACAGATTCCATTTAATTAGCTCCCAATTTGCTTCAAGTAACAGAAGGGATTTAAGAGTTTATGGTAATAATATGCAAAAGGTTGAAATGCCTTTGAAACATATGCTAAGGTTTGCCCCTGAACAGAATTAAGGATGCTATTGGTGCTATTGATGCATAAGGGGAGGTAGATGTGGGACATGGAGGGCCCTGGCTTCTCAAGTACATAGGAAGGCAGCTGGCAGTGACTCCCAAGGATACAGGTTAGATGCAAGGTTATAAAACACTATACACAGGCTGCACTGTCCTTGGTGGAAATACACCATAGCCATGGCCAAGGTAGGCAGGTGAGACTGCATAAATTTTCTAATAATAATAGCTCATTCTTCATGGAATTTTAATATATACTAGCCTCTATTTTTGGAGAGTTATATGAATTAACATAGTAATTCTTGGGAGAACGATACAGAATAAGTATAATTACCTTTATTTTGTAAATGAGGATACCAAGACACAGAGAAGTTAAAGAATTTTCTCAAAGTAGAGTCAGAATTTAAACCCAGATAATTGCCATTTCAACTCTATAGGCTACTGTACCCTCTTTCTGGTTCATACTCCAAAGCTTTACTCTAAGGTTTGACTGTGTTAGGAACATTAGGACCATCTTTGGACATTTCTTGGCTCATAGAAGTACCCAGGTTGCTTTTGTTGTACATGCTTTCCTGATAAGGCATCACCAAATGTTTGTTTACCAAATAGGATACCCAAAACAGACCAAAATAACTATTTTACCCAAGTCTAGCTCAGTAAATCAATGGTTTCATTAAGGTTACTTGCAAGGGCATGTATTACTCAAGGGCTCTATTACCCCAAATTTTAGACAGAGTGATGACTCATAAAAGGTACATCGCTGAACTTCCCTGCATGGGCCAAAGTTTGACTTGCCAGTCTCTTCCCCAGTAATTGTTATTGCTTAAATAACATTGGGAAGGAGCTTTTTAAACTTTGTAAATTTCAAGAAACTCCTGAAACTTGTGAGTTGTTTATGTGGATGAGCCTTATGAGGTTTATTCATTTCTTGAGTTTTAAGAAGCCTTTCTCTAGGACAGTGTTTCCGTTCAGAGGACATTACTGCATAAAACCTTTGAACAGTTTTTTTGTTTTTTACTCATCTGATGCATAATTCTGATATCTATTTCTCTAATCTGAATTTCCCTTTGTCAGACTGAGTCTCAGAAATCTCAATCATTTGATAACTTCTCCTCCTTTCATTCTTTCCTCTTTCGTTTGTTTGTTTTTTTTTTTCCAGGTTAAGTCTTTCTATGTATCCCAGGCTGGCCTTTTAAATTAGATTCCTCCTATGTCAGGTTTCCAAGTGCTTAGATGACATATATGTGCTGCTGTACTCAGTTAATGAGCTTCTCTTCTCTACAGTTCATTCAGAAGACTACTGGGGAAAGCAGGGAAAAGAAATGGCTGTATATGCACAGTAGTGACTTTTGCAACACTGGATGGAGCACTTTTCCAGACTCAAAGTTTCCACATAGTAATTCAGGCACAGGGTAAAGAACATGACTTACTATCTTCAAAAACAAAAAAACAAAACAAAACAAAAAACAAGAAACCTGGAGGTGTTAAAAATGCTAATATTAGGAGGGGACTTAAGAGATGAGTGGATAGCCACACTGTGGGACATCCCACTCCCCAGGACCCCCACAGTGGGACAAAACCCTGGGCTCCTCCTCCAACTCCCTTGGCTTTTCTAGCCAGTCTGCAAGGGAGTTCCCTGCAGGTAGGCTACCCCATTGCAGGTCCCATCCACCAGACCCTGCAAACTATTAGCCCTATCCTGCCCCCAAACTCGCCTATCCTCCCGCAACCTTGGTGAAACTTTGAAACAGAGCTTACTACAATACTGGAGGGACTAAGAACTTGCTACAACACTGAGGGGACCAAGAGAGAGGAACAAGAGAACAAACCAGGAGAGCTGACCAAGAGAGCAGTCTTGTAGAGACCTCAGAGGCTTCCTGAGACACAGACATTGAAAATACATATCAGACCAAGAAAAATACCCAAACACTCAGATAAACGCTGCAAGGATTGGGCTAATATGTAAAGACACTGCTGGCCTCATTTGAAGGAAGAGATGGGTAAGCACCAATGAAAGAATTCATGCAAAAACCCAAAATCAACATGGTAACACCAGAACCCAGTGGCCACACAACAAGAAGACTTGATCATCACAAACCAGAAGATCAGAAGAAAATGATTTTAAATGTAACTTTATGAAAATGATGGAGACCTTTAGAGAAAATAAAATACTCCCTTCAAGAAATGGAGGAAAAGCCAAAAATAATAATTTCCTCAAAGAAAACCAAGAAAAAAACAAAATAATCAAACAAGTGAAAGAAAATGGTTTAAGACTTGAAGACTGAAATAGAGACAATAAAAAAAAACCACAAACCAAGGGAATTCTAGATTTGGAAAATTTGAGTAAATGAACAGGAACTAAAGAGACAAGTGTAACCAACAGAATACAGGAAATAGAAGAAAGAATCTTAGGTGTTGAAGATACTGTAGAGGAAATAGACTCATTGATCAAAGAAAACATTAAATCCAACAAATTATTAACTCAAAACACTCCGGATATCTGGGACACCATGAAAAGACCAAACCTAAAAAAGAAAAAGGAAAAGAACTCCAGCTCAAAGGCACAGAAAATATATTCAACAGAATCATGGAAGAACGCTTTCTCAACCTAAGGAAGGATATTCCTATGAAGTATAAGAAGCTTACAGAACATCAAGTAGACTGGAGCAAAAAAAAGTTCCCTCTCCATATAATAATCAAAATGCAAAATATACAAAATAAAGAACATTAAGAGCTGCAAAGGACAAAGGTCAAGTAACATATGAAGGTATGCCTATCATAATTATACCTGACTTCTCAATGGAACATGAAAGCCAGAAGGACCTTGGCTGATGTGCTGCAGACACTAAGAGATCACGGATGCAAGCCAAGACTACTATACCCAATAAAGCTTTCAATCACCATCAGTGAAGAAAACAAGATATTCCATGACAAACTCAGATTTAAATCATATTTATCCATAAGCCCAGCCTTACAGAAAGTACTAGGAGGAAAACCCCAATCCAAGATAGCTAACTGCACCTACAAAAAACATGGACAACAGATAACCCCCCACCAGCAAAACCCAAAGAAGGGAAACATACAAACACTACTACCAAAAAATATCAGGAATTAACAACCGCTGCTCATTAATATCACTTAATATCAATGGAATCAATTCACATATAAAAAGACACAGGCTATGAGAATGGATAAAAAAATGGGATCCAACCTTCAGATCTATACAAGAAATACACCTCAACCTCAAAGACAGACACCAGAGTAAGGGGTTGGGAAAAGGTTTTCCAATCAAATGGACATAAGAAACAAGTAGGTGTAGCAATCCTAATATCCAACAAAATAGGTTTCAAGCTAAAATAAATCAGAAGAGATGGAGAAGGACAAAACAATCCATCAAGATGTAGTCTCAATCCTGAACATCTATGCCCCTAATACAAGAGCACCCACATAAGTAAAAGAAACATTACCAAAAATTAAATCACACATCACACATGAAACTCCACACACTAATAGTAGGAGACTTCAACACTCTACTCTCACCAATGGACAGGTCAACCAGACAGAAACTTAAAAGAGAAATAAGAGAACTAACAGATGTCATGAATCAGGACTTACCATACAGCTATAGGACATTTCACCCAAACACAAAAGAATATATCTTCCTCTCAGCATCTAACCAAAGAAGTGAAAGACCTATTTGACAAGAACGTTAAGTACTTAAAGAAAGAAATTCAAGAAAATACTAGAATATGGAAAGATCTCCCATGCTCCTGGAGAGGTAGGATCAACACAGTAAAAATGGCAAACCTACCAAAAACAATCTATAGATTCAGTGCAATGCCCATCAAAATCCCATACAAGTCTTTACAGACCTTGAAGGAACTATAGTCAACTTCATATGAAAAAACTAAAACTCCAGGATAGCCAAAACAGCCCTGTACAATAAAGGAACTTCTGGAAGCATCACTGCCCCTGACCTCAAGCTTATTACAGAGCTACAGTAATGAAAACAGCTTGGTACTGGCATAAAATCACAGAGGTTGACCAATGGAATTGAATCGAAGATGCAGATATTAATCCACACATCTATGAACACCTGTGTTGGAGGAAGGTTGCCTGTGTAATTCCCAACCACCTGACAGCTCAGACCTGAAATAACCACACTGTATTAATTAAATCACTGCTTGGCCCAGTAGCTCTAGCTTCTTATTTGTTAGCTCTTACAGCTTAATTTAGCCCATTCCTATTAATCTGTGTATTACCACGTGGCTGTGGCTTACCAGGTAAAGTTCCACCATCTGTCTCCAGAAAGGCTACATGGCTTCTCTATATTCCTCCTTCTTTCTCCCAGCATTCAGTTTAGTTTTCTCCACCTAGCTCTGATCTACCCTATACGGCCAAGCAAATTTTCTTTATTCATTGTTGATAATCACAACTTACAGAGGGGAATCCCACATCATACCTGGTTTTTGATAAAGAATATAAAATTAGTGCTCGCTTCGGCAGCACATATGCTAAAATTGGAACAAGACAGAGAAGATTAGCACGGCCCCTGAACAAGAATATAAAATTATACAATGAAAAAATGAAGTATTTTCAACAAATAGTGCTGGCATAACTAGATGTCAACATGTACAAGAATAAAAGTAGATCCATATTTATCCCCATGCCCCAAACTCAAGTACAAATGGCTTAAAGACTTCAATATAAATCTGACTATACTGAATCTGATAGAAGAGAAAATGGGAAGTAGCCTTCAATGTATAGGCACAGAAGACCACTTCCTAAATATAACCCCAAAATCACAGACACTGAGTGCAAGAACAAATAAATGGGACCTCCTGAAACTGAGAAGCTTTTGTAAAGTAAAGGACATATTCAACAACACAAAAAGGCAACCTACTGAATGGGAAAAGATCTTCATGAACATCACATCGGACAAAGTAATGATCTCCAAAATATATAAAGAACTCAAGAAATTTGACATCAAAATTCTAAATAACCTAATTTTAAAATGGGGTACAGAACAAAACAGAGAACTCTCAACAGAAGAATTTCACATGGTCAAAAGATACTTCAGGAAATGCTCACCATCCTTAGCCATCAGGCAAATGCAAATCAAAACACCTCTGAGATACCATGTTATACCTTTCAGAACAACTAAGATCCAAAACATCAATGAGAGCTTATGCTGGAAAGAATGTAGAGTAAAAGGAACACTCATCCATTGCTGGAGGGAATGCAAGCTTGTACAACCACTTTGGAAATCAGTATGGCAATTTATCAAAAAATTGGGAATCAACCTTACCATAGGAGCCAGCAATACCAATCTTGGACACATATTCAAAAGATGCTCAATCATACTACAAAGGCATTTGTTCAACTATGTTCATAACAGCATTATTTGTAATAGTCAGAACCTGGAAAAAACCTAGATGCCCCTCAACAAAAGAATGGATAAAGAAAATGTGACACATTTACATATTAGAGTACTACTCAGCAGAAAAAAAAATGACAACTTGAAAACTTGAATTTTGCATGCAAATGGATAGAATTAGAAAACACTATCCTGACTGAAGTAACCCAGACCCAAACACATGAATATGGTATATACTCACTCATAAGTGGATACTAGCTATAAGCAAAGGATATTGAGCCTATAGTTTATGATCCTACAGAAGCTAAGTAATAAAGATGAACCCTAAGAAAAATATATCTAGATCCACCTGGAAAGTGGAAACAGACAAGATCACCTGACAAAATTGGGAGCATGAGGGTTGGGGGAGAAGGGAGGGTGAGAGGGGAAGAGAAGAGGGGAGGAGAACTTGAGGGAACGGGCTGGTTGAGTTGGAAGAAGGACAGAGATGAGAGCAAGGAAAGAGATATTTTGATTGAGGGAGCCATTATGGGGCTAGCAAGAAACCTGGTACTAGAGAAATTCCCAGGAATCCACAAGGATGACCCCACCTGAGACCCTAAGCAATAGAGAAGAAGGAACCCAATCTTGACTTGCCCTGTAATCAGACTGATGAATATCTTATATATCACCATAGAACCTTCATCCAGCAACTGATGGAAACAGAGGCAGAGACCTGCACCGAAACACTGGACTGAGCTCCCAAAATCCAGTTGAAGAGTTTGAAGAATGAGAATATGACCAAAGAGGTCAAGACCATGATATGTACACCCACTGAAACAGTCTACTTGAGCTAATGGGAGCTCACAGTCTCCCACTAGACTGGGAAGGAACCAGTATAGGACCAAGCTAGTCCTTTTGATTGTGGTTAACAGTTGCATGACTGGGGTAGACTGAGGGACCATTGGCAATGGCACTGGAATTTATTCCTACTGCATGTACTGGCTTTTGGGGAAGAAAAAAGAAACCTATTTGTTTGGATGGATACCTTTAACAGCCTAGATATAATAGGGAGGGCCTTGGACCTTCCCCAAAGCAATGTGACTTACCCTCTCTGAGTATTGGATGGGGGTAGGATGGGAGAGTATGTGAAGAGAATGGGAGGAGGGGAGAGAGAGGGAACTTGAATTGGTATTTATGATGAAAAAAAGTTTTTTCTTTAAAATATTTAAAAAGGGAAAAATGCTTATATCAGCTGTTCAGTGATGATGCATGCCTTTAATCCTAGCAGTCAGGAGGCAGAGATAGCAGAATCTCTACGAGTTCAAGGCCAGCGGTCTGTAGAGGGAGTTCCAGGGCAGATTCCACAGCTACAGAAAAGCCGTGTTTCTAAAAACAAAAAACAAACAAACAAAAAACAAAACAAAACAAAAAACACTTATACACTTATATCATAATCATGCATTTGCATATTATGTCCCAAGGATGCTGGTTGAGGGTCTAAAATGATAATATAAGCACTAAAAGAAACACAATATGGAGGCTGTGGAGAGGGTTCATTCTGTACAGTATTGATACTGTCAGTGTAAAGGCCTTTGATGCTCAGAATCCATGTTCGAAGCTAGGTGTGATGAGGCAAGCTTATCATCTCAGCAATGGGGAAACAAAGACACATGGATATCTGAGGCTCACTGCCCAGTCAGCCTATCCAAATCCATGATCTTTCAGTTGAATGAGAGACATGAGTGAAAAAGTTAGATGGAGAGCAATCGAGGAAGACTCCAACTATCATCTTCCGGCCTCTACACACTTGTGCAGAGCACATTGTGGTCACCCCCTCACCCCACACACAAATAAGAGATAAATATGCGTTACTAGGCAAATAAGGGGACATAAATCAGACTCAAACATACGGCATTTTTATGCTATGATCTTATGTGCTACACAAAAATAAAAAATAAAAGGTTGTGCCATAGGTGACAGGTGAGACATAACTGGACTGTGGAGCCATGACTTGTAAACTGAAGATAAAAGACAACACAAATCACATATCACCACAATGAATGAAACCATATGATCGCTCAGACTCACACATATCCACCTTTGACTTCTCTCTAGAGAAAGCACAGTATCAAACGGCAGAGTGTTTTGTGAAAGATGTGGATGGGGCTAGTCAGTTCTTACAGACAACTGATATGAGGCACATAACAAAGGAGACCTTGGTAAGTTCCAGAACAATGTCTTCCAAGCGGAGACCACTGAGAGTTGAGACTATTGGAGGCCTTAGGTTCTGGGAAAAAATTTTAATAGGCTGCTGAGCAGCTTTTGTGCCATGTGAGGACAGATTGATATTCTGCAGTGGACCCTGATAGACACACAGCTGGGGGAGAAACAGCAGCTGCCGCTAATAATAGAGTAGCCTGGTTCATAGACACAAAGGCTGTGGAGGTCATGGTGGGTGACACAGACCCACAGGGGAACACGTGAGTGTCACTGCTCCGAGCCCTTCCCCTTCCCCTGATGAGCAAAAATGGCTGTCATCAGCACTGGAGGGAGTTCAGTATGGTATGGATCTCTGCAACTGATTCCCAGCGGAGGTTCATGATCTGATCTCTGGGCCTGTGGGGAATGCTTTGGCTTCTTCAAAAAAGTGGGAAACATGATCAAGGTGCGTGTGTTTAACTCTTCCTGCTGAGTAGGCAGGTTAAGTCCTTCACTTCATTTGCTCTCCACTGCAGTCCCAAAGTGGCAGGACATCTTTCTCTAAGCATTTTCATCTCTGCACGTAAGAGACGGAGGATTTCAGAAAACAGGACTTGGTTACCTCCCATGAAAAGCACAATCCAAATGTGATTCGGTGTGGCTTTGTGCCTTTGTGTGGCTGCTTTGTGTCAGTAGAGTGTGAGAGGGCCACAGTTTCTATTTTGGTGTAGCATGTGCCAACATCTGGCCAGGTTTCTAGTCAGTTGATAAACAGTCTGCTTTTTGTGAGTCACAGTATGAAAGACTTGGGAGTACTGGTGATCTTAAGGCCTGGACTCAGTGATTTTAGGAAAGTCATTTTATCTACACTCTACCTGGAGGAACTTGGTTATATCCCACCAATGACTACCTCCTTGGGACAGTCAGACATCTGTCAAAAGCTTATTTGGCTAGTATTGCATTGGCATTCAAGGATGAAGCAAGCGGCATGATTCAGAATTTAGTTGTCATTATATGATATGGAATAATAAGTTAATAAGTCATTCTTTCTCACAAACCCTAATCGATTGCTATGGTTTCACTTTACATTTTCCTGTTTGCCATGGGGATGTCCAGTATCCCCATCCTTCATTTATAGACATAAAGAAAAAAACTGACTTTCCACAGATTCTTATCTCCACCATAACCTCCAATGACACCTTAGCTGCTCTTGAGCCTTTATTCTGACCTGTTGAATGAAACTTATTATGTTGATAACAAACTGGGTTAAAAGTGTGTGAACCAGGAAGATTGAAATGAGTTGTAAAGAGAAATAACATTGTAAATGAGAACACAAGGTTTAAAATATATTTCAATTTTCATCTATATTCTCTAGAGAAATAAAAAGTGCTGGTCAAGATAAATAATCTTTCCACACTTCAATATGGTTTGAATAAATTTTGAATTCCTCACAAACAACTGTAAAGCAAAATAAATGAGAAATTGGGACAAATCAGTTAAAGCCCATTTAATTGTGGACTGGCTACATACATTGTGTTAAAAAAAAAAAAAAGTTGTACCCTATGGTGATCAAGAAATGTCTGAAAGTAGAGTAAATAGCCAACTAGATAATCCCTTAAAGTGGAAGATTACACTTATGAAGGATAAGCAAGAGTCTAGGATGCTGTCGGGAGGCAGGGCTGTTCATCCTTGGGTCACAGTATCCCTGCCTGGACATAAATACTTGGGCCCCTGACTTTTCTTTTGTAGAAAGAAACAGAAAGTCTTTGTATCAAGAGTTTAAGGGTAAAACGAGTAAATTTCTGGTTTCTAGAATACATCAGGACTTAACAAAAACAAAGCAAAACAAAAAGGCACTGAGCAACCTCCTTTGGGGACAATCATTGTGCTGACATCTGAGAGGGACATTTTGCTCTTCATTTGGATTCTACTCAAATGCCTACTAAAAAGGTGATCAGACTATTTGGATGGAAGGCTTTTTCAAAACAAGCTGAGATTTCTTTCTAATCAGCAGAAAAGCAGGAGCCTGGCACCCTTCT